ATATATATATATATATATATATATATATATATATATATATATATATATATATATATATATATATATATATATATAATAATGGAAACAACAAATTACACACCTATGAGATCGGATGGTAATTTGCAATATTTATCGATAGCTGCCAGAATTAACGGTACGTTAATGGATTCCAAAAATAAACAGCAATTTGGACCAGCATCAAACGTGTAAGCTACTTTCGTGCTTTTGCAGTGCCTATTCAGGGCATGAATAAGTTGCATAAAGTACCAAGAATGATTATTCAAGTACTGAAATTAATAAGTATTTTAACTGTTTCACAAGACTATTCGCTGTAGTCAGATGTGGAACTCACTTAAAATTTCAGTACCCTTTAGCTAATTTAGTTTAGTGATTAAAAGCTGTGGTGCTAACGACTGTAATTGGAACAGTAATTTTAAACAAAATATGGCAACCAACACTCAAATAAAAAAGTACTCCCCATATATTTCGGAACACAATCTGACACTTATAATTTACATATTTAAAATATGCTGCAAAAGAGTCCAGTAACTGTTTCTTTTGGAATGTTATGATTTAAATCATTGAAAATTCAATAAGGATGAAATCATATGATCTGAAAAATTTTTAATTCCAAATTTGACAGTGTAGTACCTTTTTCGATCGAAATTTTTTCGATTTTTTTTTTCGACCTTTTCGACTTTTTCGATTTTTCGACCTTTTCGATGATCACTTGACTGTCTTGTTTTGCTCCTAATTCTACTTGCAATATCTTTGAAAACGTGATATGAAAAAAGAATTGAAAGAATACCCTGAGAGATGGCATAGTATCCATACATAGAGCATGCAACTGTCCACTATCCGACATTATTACTTGGGCAAATTTTTCGAAATCTCTATTGCGAAAAGCATTTTTTAACCTGCAATATAATTCCTGCCAAAATGTCCCCAACTGAAACAAACTGAAGAGTTTGATGAAAATATATTACAGTTAAACAGAATCGCCCATAAATTACTAAAATTGAAGCAACCATAACAGTGACAGTAATGAAAAAATGTCCGGAATATACTTCGTTATTTGTTCAGGCACAATATCCATCCTAGCTTGCAATAATTTTGAAGTTTTAACAGTTGACTGCATTCCATTAGAACTACCAACTTTTTTAGGATCATATGAGGTTACCAAAATTAGTGACCTCAAAGTAGGCCAATAATCTTCCGGAAAAACTGTCTGAAAAAAAAACTAATTTGATCGATACTTCCAGCCAGGAAAAATGATATCGGTCACATCTTTCACCTTCAACTATGGATTATTAGTGACTATCCCGTAAAATCTTTTCTTTTTGAACCATAGAAATTACGAAAAGTTATAAAAATTGAAAATAAGCAGACTTCACAAATGCAATCAGCACCATCTTCTGCTGTACCTGCTTTCCAGTGTACAAGACCACTTAAGATACTCCGACATGCACTTCCAGAGCCTGAACAGTTACATCAGTCTCAGTTCACTTTGTGGTCACTTCAAAATGATAGCAAGTCTAAATTATTAGCTATCAATTATTACATATTCAATCAGGAATCCTTTCCTCACATAAATTACACCTCAAAACATTATTCCACTAAACTTATACAAACTATGGTTATTCAGAATATGTAATAACGCAATTCAGACTGGAAAACAAACAAAACAGCATATTATACCTACCCATTCTAGCAACGCGAATTACGTCGTTGATATTTAAATGGTAAACCTGCCCAAGGCCATATGCAATAGCCGCAAAACCGGAGGCTGACGAAGCAAGTCCTGCTTCAATAGGAAAACTTGTTTCGGAAACAACCTGTGAACATGAATAATTTACTGAACCAAAATTCACCACATGAGAAAATATGGCGATCCGGAGAACAAAACTTTTTAAAAAGCTGTAAAGACGAAGAATGTGTGTATAGCCGATACTAATTGTAACAGTTAATGTTAGAAAAAATTTGCACATCAAATTATTAGCATAATAGAGGAAAAAAAAGTAAGTGACTTCAAACTTGCTGAAATATTTTTGCTTCTCTGACTTCCCTGTACTTTCGGATATAATGGAACGTTTCCGAATTAGTCGTCTCACTTCCTTAAATTGAATATTTTTGCTTGCTTTTGCAACAAAAATATTTTAAAGCACCATGAACAACAGCTATGATAAAAATGAACAATCTTACTTTAAAACATCGAAGAAATCCTGGGTACTTTGAAAGACATATATTTGAACCATTGATTAAGACTGAATCCTTCTTGATCGATGGCCCTATCCGTATCCTTGTTTTCGCACAAAGATCATTGATAGAAAGTGAAATGGAATCATTCAGTGGAAGCATAAGATCCTGGAAATACAAAACATGCAGAGATATCAGTTTCTGATAAAAACGAACTATTCCTCAATTATTATAGCTTAATAAATCTTTTGAGCACCTAAAGTCTGATTAGTAGTGGATAAAGAACTGCCAAAATTTTCTGTGAGACTAAAGATTAACGGACATTTCTGCTAAAAATCACTTGAACACTATCCTATTTGTTGAATTTCTGTTATAAGGCACACATAAAAGAGCTCATTCGTCACATCAAATGACTTAGGTATAATACCAATTTAAACAATTACTTCATTTCTTTTGCCCCAGTATTTGACTAGAGCAATATTGATTGGTGCTACGACTTTCACTTCCTGTACAAAATTATCATTACCATCACTCGAACCCATTGAAATCAAAATTCGTACCTCGAGTATATATTTGCACCTCAAACAATGGTATTTATTTGCTGCATTAAAATACAAAATAAAACAAAGCAAGAAGCACATTAATCTCCATGACAATGATGAATTAGTAATCTAGTTATGTCCACTATTTTTTCCATCTAATGATTTGGATGATTCCCGGCTTAGTAACTTATGAATTAGATGCACAGTCAAGTGACTCTTTTATCTAACAAATTCCGAAAGAAAAACATCGACCAAATTTTATAAAAGCCATACGAAAAGGTACAAATGAAATGAGCTCATCCCTGTATCAAACGTCCACCATCACTGCTGTCTAAATTTCTGCCTTCAACTATGAGATTCCCCTTATTTCATATACAGTAGCATGCAACGTAGGTGAAACCATTGGTTGGCGAGCATTTCCACGGACATTATTTGATAGAAGAGGTTGGGTCGCTCACGGCTCTTTCCTAGTTGGAGTGGGAGTCCTGGTCTTTCCTTATCCTAACTCGTGAATAGTTCAGACGAGTGTTTCAGGAATTCCTTTTTGGGAGTTTCTGTTGCATTTCATCAACTTGAAGTTTGAAGCTACACGATTTTTGAAATGAACTGATAAAAAATTTCAAGTGGAAGATTTGACGAAAGTGTTCTAGAGATGTCATTTGTTGATGATGCGAAGCGTCTGTTTGGCACAATAGACCTTTATGAAATTTTGCACTTGAAAGGATCGAAATCGAAACGAATGAATTACAGCCAAGCAGAAAGTAATTGTTTCGTGATAAATACTTCGCATAAACTCTCAATATCTGCAGAACTTCGAGTCAGGACGATGATTTCAGGGTGATGCCATTTGGAAGGAAATACTTTTGTTAGGAGTTTATGTTGGGTTATGCTGTCGTTTAGTTAATTTTTTGTTATAGAATGGTAGGGTATCGAGTTGGAGTAAGGAAGATGATTGGAAAATTTATTAGAGTCATTTCTCCGTACAAATGCTTGTGTATTGTTTTCGGAGTTCATTTATACTGTACTTTGCGTAGTTAGCCTCTTCTCATAGATTTGTCATTTTCTAAACTTCTTTTCCACTTAATTATTTTCAGTCAAAAAGGCGTTTTTTAAGCTGTCATTACAATTTCATCCTGATCGTTGCAATGATGAGACGAAAAAGTTGGAAACAACAGCTAAATTCCAAATCTTAAATCATGCTTATGCTGTTCTTAGTGATAAGCAAAGGAAAGCTATTTATGATGAAGTGGGTAAGTTCTTCTTTTTTCCTGTTTTTCCATAATATCATAATTTTCTGTAATATCACTAAACTTTTATTACAGGAATTATTGGCGATGCTGAAATTTGCTCCGAAGATGTGGACTGGCTTGCTAGATGGAAATTGATATTTAAGAAGATAACGAAAGAAGATATTGACAACTTTATAAGAAAATTCAGGGGTTTTACTACAATTCTATGTTATTATTTCTTCAGCTTTCTTGTGGTAGGGCACTCGATTGGGAAATCGCTATTAATTAAGTTAGATTAATACGGAGAGAGTTGTTTTAATGCAATAAACCCCGACAGCTGAGCAATTTAGACTCTGGCGAAGAACGTGATGCAGTTAAAGAAGCTTACATAAAATACAAGGGTGATATGGGGAAAATTCTGAATGATGTTATTGGTGTTACATACGAAGATGAAGAGCGTTTGCACAATATGATAAGTGATATGATTGAATCTGGCGAATTGAAAGCAACGCGATATTTTGTTTCTGAGCCGGAAAGAAAAAAAGCTAAACGTCGTAAAGCAGCACAGCGTGAAGCAGAGGTGCGTTTTCCACTGATGTTTTCTCTTGACATAGTGAGTCGAAAAAAATCTTTTGATTCATATTGAACTATATCATTTGAATATTTTTTCAATTTCTTCTTAAAGGAAGCAGAGAAGATATTGAAAGAGGTTCAAAGGAAGGAAGGCGCTAAGGATCTCGTCACTCTTATTCAAAATCGACAGCAAAAAAATCTTGCATCATTTAATCAACTTTGTGATTCTTTAACCGTAAAATATGCGAAGAAATCAAGAAAAACAAAGTGATAAACGCATATTTTCCTATGCGTTTTAATTGTTTTCTATAGTGATTTCCATTTCTCCGATATATGATAAGCATCTAATGGTCGAACGATCAACATTAACCATGCTACTACTAGGGAAACAATTAATGTAGCTAATGTTCTCAAAAAAGCAGTTAATGTAAACATTAGTTACATCTCAAAATATTTTGTGTACTGTGTATCTGCGCATCGTTTATGCAATCATGTTTCATATCCTCGTTGAACCCTTATTTATATTCTAAGGTTATATGAAACATACGCTGCTGTTACGTTCATGTCAATAATTATTTATGCTAATCGGTAGATTGATTTTTTTTAAAATCTTTCTACAATGTATCTACACAGAGTTTTCTTCGATAGATGTTTATCGTGTCCTGAACATGAACTAACTGATTTGATAGCGTTAGCTGAAATTGAGGGTTTTATAAACTTGTGTTTGGTCGAAATGTGGCCATATAAAACGGTTTTACGTACTGTAATGGTTTTTTTTTTTTTTTTTTGCGTACTATTTCCCATTTGTTTCACATTAACGCATTTTTAAATCTGGCACTGTTTGTTAAACAATTTGCTTTCTAACGCTGGTGGACCTAAATATGAGAAAACGGAAATTAAAAAGCTGTAACGCTGCAAAATGAGTGTGAGAAAGCTATTATCCTAAAATAAGTGCTTGCTGATTATGAGATAGTGAAACTTATGTGTTCCTTTTGCTTCTTGAAGGTTTCCGTTTGCACGTTGTTATTTGTCCATGCAAATACAAATTCTGAACTAGGTAGTTTAAGTCTTGGTTTTCGTTTGACTCATTGTCAGTTGAACTTGTTCTCTACCTGATACGGCCATTAAGTGTCCTGCGTCATGTGCGTCATCATTAAAGGTAACTATATATTGTCAAACATCAATTCCCTTCATAGTATTTTCAGCTGGATATTGGCTAAAAATTAATGCTGATTATCTTGCTGCACTGGGTTCGGTCGTTTTCTCAGGAAAAAAAGTTTTATCCCTTTTTTGTCGAAATCTTTTCGGATGTTTGAATGAGTGAATCGGCGATATGCTGGGTGAAAGACTCGTTTTTAAAATTATATTTGCTGTGGGGCTATTTTTTATTGCACAAGTAGCAATTTTTTGGATGCAATTACAAAATTTGGATGAAAAGAAATATATACTTGTTGCGGAAATCGACACTTTGCTGAGGAAACGAGAAGAGTTGAATAAAAAGATTTGGATGCAAGAAAAGGAAACCTATCGTATGGAGGGGAAGTTGCAGCGAATTGATAGTTTGTTAGTTGGCACTCTTGGTTTTGTTGTTTTACTGTTTCAAGGTTAAGATGACAAATTTTATTTTTAGGATGGAATGTTTTTTTTGGACCACCATTTTGCAATGTTTCTAAATATAAATGTGGAAATTTTTTTTTACAAAACTGTACCTGATATGAAACCTTACAAGTTTGATTTCGCTTACAGAGTTCGTGATCGAATACCGCTGGCGGAAATACGCAAAGACCTTCCATTTATTTATTTTATAACGCCAACTTATCGAAGACTGACACAGAAAGCTGATCTCATCCGCCTAGCGCAAACATTGAGTATGTTACTGGAATACGTTTTGAAGTTTGATATTTCATCAACTAGATGCATAGGCTTTTATAATTTCAGGATCCATTGAACCATTTCAGCGTATGTGCCCAACTTATACTGGATTGTAGTCGAGGATGCGAATAATACATCTCCATTCATCGCCGAAATTTCCAAAAGATATCGTATTAGATTTGCTCACCTTTATGCGCTCACACCTCAGGAAAAGAAACCAAATGAAGCAGATCCGAACTGGAAAATTGCGAGAGGAGTAGTTCAGCGAAATAAAGCTCTCATGTGGTTGAGGTGTTTTTAGTTTTATTCAGCAGCATTTGTTCAATATTGTAGGTGTAGTGATTTCCTCTTCTTGAAAGAATTAGTTTGACAAAAAGTTCAGTGATTTAGATTTTTTCTCATTGGTATTTGTTTTTTTTCTCAGACTTTTCAAGAAATGTTTTACGTGTGTCTACGTAATTTTGGAGAATTATGAGATTATAGCTTTTTTTTTAATTCAAAATACGCCGTCGATATCATAAATTCTTTAGTCCATTAGAAGTGTCCGATGAAGAATGATATAGCCTGAGATGCTATGAAATCATTTTTCAAATTGCATCACGTCATGAACTTTTTCCCTAGCCTTTGAAAAAAATTTTGTTAGTATTTTCACTAGCAACATTGCTGTTTGCAGCAGAATATTATTAAAAAGTGATATTTTAAAGGTTCAGCTAAACTGTTCTAAGAATCTAAGGTTCTTTTCTTCTCGGAGTGTAATTAACACCGTATTTTAGGAAGAATTTGGACAGATCCAGGAGAGGAATTGTGTATTTCGGTGATGATGACAATACCTATGATTGGAGATTATTTGATGAAATGCGATCCATAGAAAGAGTGGGGGTGTGGCCAGTGGGCCTCGTTGGTGGTTTAATTGTTGAGACGGCAAAGCTTTCAGAAGGTGGTTTATTTAACTGTAAAATCATAATTACTTTAAGTCCACTACAAGTTGATTGTGGACATTTTCTTATTTGCGTATGTTTATTATTGCTGTGGTTGTTATTTTATTTCATACGACTTCTTGATGATTTCCTTTTCTCTTTCATCTGTCCATTTTCATGATGTTATGTGGATTTTTCCAGATAAGAATATATCATTCAATTCACTGTGGAAGCCAGAACGACCATTTCCTATCGATATGGCGGCGTTTGCCATCAATTTATCTTTGGCACTTGATGCTAATGCATTCTTTACATATGACGTACCCCGTGGTTATCAGGTTCGTTTAATAATTACATTATTTTGTTTATCGTACGTATATTATCTCGTATATTTATGAATATTTTGCGTTCCTCAAATTGCGCAAATGGAGAAATGTTTTCTTTTTCTTCTTTTTTAGGAGTCTTATTTTCTTACTGCTTTGGGTTTGAAACGAAACGATTTGGAATTGAAGGCTAATGGTTGTACGAAGGTATATGTTTGGCATACTAGAACGGAGCGAACCCTTCTTTTGCAGAGAGAAAAAGTGAAAGTTTGGCGAGGCTCATTAAATGATGTTGAAACCGATGCTCTCTATTAATTACGGGCTATTTGCAATTTTCGGCTCTTCGTTCATTTTCGTTACAATTTCGATTTTCGATTTTTCTTTCACAATTCAGTATTTCGGAGTTCAAATCGGTTACATTTTATCATTGTTGCTGTGTTGTTTACATAAATCGTTTATGTATCATTTCAGTAAGAGTATTCCATGCCTGCATCGTAGCCTTATGATTTTAATCTATGGCTAACTTTCAAGTCCATGATTTACATATAATTTACTTCATTAGTCATTTGGTCGCATTTTACCATTGCTTTTGGTCAAAAATTATAAAGATGAATTAATCATAGCATGTGTGTACCTTAACCGTAATCGAATAGGACTCTATTATACTTAAATTACTTGGGCAATAAAAAATTCAAAACCATATTCTACTCAGAATTTCCCATTTTATTGAGTCTTCTTCCAGTCTATTTGCATAAATTATCCATGCTAAACAAAGAACAAAGAATACTAAATCAATGCTCAAGGAGTACTAGGTCATTACAATGTAATTTGAGGGTTATACACATTTCAGGTTGATATTTCCTGCACAGGTATTTTGTGGTTGGTTCATGTTTTATGTCTTTTTGTAATACTTCTACATTTTCTGTTTTGTTCTTTTAGTTTGGCTTCAGTTAATTTTGCTTTTCTTTTAGGAGAAATCGACACTTTGAAATAAAACGGAAAAGTCTAAGCATTTTCTGGCTCTTCAGGACCGTAATGATTCAAAAATTTCTATGCATTCTATACCAGTTAGTGTAGTGTAGTAGTTCATGCTTTTTCTTTTGCTGTTAAACATTAAGAAATCTTACGTATTTATAATTACTTACAATTCTTTTGATGGGTTTGTATATACATTCATTTGACAAGTATATATATATATATATATATATATATATATATATATATATATATATATA